AAATCAATAAAATGTATTTTTTTAAAAACAAAAACAAACAAAAAAACAACAAAGAGGACAAGGGGCCCAGCTGGCGAGGGTGAAGAAGGGGACCCTCACCAAGGAGCTATTATGTGATGCTGTTTTCCTTGCCCCCCCAACTGAGAGGCATGAGGAATGTGTCTTCTGAAGAGCAGGCGTTGGAGCCAGATGGCCTTGTGAAAAATAAGCCAATCTATGCTTTGGAATGCTCTAATGTGGAACCCACATCCAAGCATGGGCTATGAAAAATATTATCTCTGCTATGTTTAGAAGCAACCACCATCTTTCTGTGAGTAATAAGCCTAATGTTCAGACTTATGACTCAAGCACTGTAAGCGAATGAAATCCTTATCAGATTAATATTTTCAAAATATTATCCCTATTGCACTTGCAGCCTCGCTCAGGCTAACTCTGCCAAGAGGGAGTCATTTGCTGGAGAGAGTTACAGATGAAGAGGAGAGAGCGCCTTGGGGGTGGCGGTGAAGGCAGAGAGCTTGCCGGCCACTGGGCGAAGCTCTTACAGCTATAGAACAACCCCTGAGGACTTAAAGCACCCCAGATGGCCAGGCTCTTTGATCCCCAAACATAGCAACCACAGTGAGAGGCCCACAGGGATGCTTTAAGAACACCTGTGACGGGCCGCGTGGCTCAGTGGTCGAATGTTGACCTATGAACCAGGAGATCATGGTTTGATTCCCGGTCAGGGCACATTTCGAACTTGACCCCCGGGGGGGTGTGTGTGCAGGAGGCAGCTGATCAGTGATTCTCTCTCATCATTGATGTTTCTATCTCTCCCTCACTCTCTGAAATCAATTATATATATATAAAACAAAAAACTTGTGACCAATGTTGTCCAAAGAAGAATTCTGTATAGTTGTGATTTAAAGGATTTTTTTTGGGGGGGGAGAGGGTTCCCTCTGCTTAAAAGTCTTGTCCTCATGGTTCTGTTTAATACCAGAAACATCTACATTTTGGAATGTCCCTATGATCACACATCTGGGTCTTAAGGCAGCTAGATCCAGGCCTTGATGTGAGAAGGAAAAAACAAGAGAGAACAATAATACTACTGAATATCATTTATCATACACTCCCTATCTGTGATACTGTGATCAAAGAAATATATATTTGGTCTTTGTCCCATTCTGGGCACATCTAGCAGTTCTTCTTTATCCACAGGGGATATGTTCCAAGACCCCAGCGGATGCCTGAAAACACAGGTAGTACACCTAAATATATTACCCTACACAGACACACATACCTTTTCACTTTAAAGACGCACTTTATAGCTTCTCTTTGCATATCCAAATGGCCAGCATCGCTACTCTTGTACTTTGGGGCTTTATTATTTTTCCATTTTGCTTTTGGAACATATGATGGAGTTTAAAAAGCTGCTCATGTCAGCCCCAAAGTTGCTCATCTGAAAGTAATTCCAGTTGAGTAATGTAATGATTGAAACATTTCAGAGCTTTTTCCAAACTCTTCACATGGCTTAGAAATTCTGCATCGCTCTCCGACTGTCCCCAGCTGTTGGGAAGCCTTGACCAAGTCTCTCCGTAGCTCCAAAGGGGTTTTCATACCTTTAACTTCTTTAAAATATTTTTCAGTTGATCTTATAATCAGGCTCTGATGGCAGCACAATACCAGAGATAAGAACAGTCCAAGGAGGGTAAATATTATTGTAAACATTCGTGGAATCATCTGGTGGGAGAATTTTTGAACCTGGAGTCTGGGAACATATAAAATTCTTTCTGAAGACCTGACAGGATTCTGCTGAGAAGATTGATGGGAAGAAAACTGCATGGGAAAAGGCTGTAGTGGTTGTTACCATGACTTCCTGTCTGCTTATTAGGAATAAAAAAAAGTAATTAATAGTAATTGTGAATTAAATGCATAATTCATGAATCCAGAAAAGTTGATCCTTAGCTAAATTGATAGTATCTTAATTCAGGGAGCAAATATCCTGTCACCCACCAAGATGACTCTATGGCTGAGGCTCTCATAGCAGAGCAGGCTCCACCGTGTACCATCAGGGTGAAGGCGTGCTCACCCTCAACAAATACGTTTTTTCCTTAATCTTCTCTCCTTTCCCTCACTCTCATGCTTCTATGTTCTAAACATGATTTTATAAAAGGGCTATGGGCATTACTGATGTTAAGCTCTATTAAAGAGCTGGACACAAGAAGAAAACTATTCAGGGCAGAATTCCAGAAAACACAGACCCAAATGACTTCATTCCTAGCTGAATTCTCATATGGCTCCTCAGCCCAGGAATTAGGGTGTTTGGGGGAAACCATTATGGATGCTGACCTCGCTTTTACTGTGCATCACTAAGCAACTCCCAGTGTTCAGAAAGCACCACAGACGGCCATATTTTAGAATCCCTTCAAGGATTTTAGGAGATAGATCTCACCAATTATAGTCTCTTCAGTCAACTGTTCCTCCCCAACCCCCCCGCCTCCCAGCTATAATAAAGCACATGATTTGATTCACTTACTTTTTTAAGTACTTGCACAACTTAGAATTTCATGGATTTCCAGACCATATATTTTGAAGGTCAAGACTTGTTACTGTTTAACACATGTTCTGCCTGCTGTTCAATAGGCATTTATTTATCTTACTTGTCTGGAAGGATGTTTATTATTCTTGTATCTCCAGAGAGTATCAAGTCTTGCTTCATTATGTGTACATGTGTCCACTGGTTTTGGTTTATATGGTTAACAGGCAAAATGTTCAACTCAACAGAATTGAGGCAACTTGTTCTGCCAAAAAGAGCAAATAACTGAACTTCTAGACCAGTGGTTCTCAACCTTCCTAATGCTGCGACCCTTTAATACAGTTCCTCATGTTGTGGTGACCCCCAATTTCATTGTTAGAAATTGAACGTAATTAAAGCATAGTGATTAATCACAAAAACAAAATGTAATTACATATGTGTTTTCCGATGGTCTTAGGCGACCCCTGTGAAAGGATCTTTCAACCCCCAAAAGGGTCGCGACCCACGGGTTGAGAACCACTGCCAAAACCAAAGGCCTTGGGAATGCTTTGGTCTTTCAGTAATCCTATATAATAAAAGCCTAATATGCAAATCAACAAATGACGGAACAATTGCTCACTATGCCATGCACTGACCGCCAGAAGGCAGACACTCAATGCAGGAGCTGCCCCCAGCCACGGGCCCCAGGCCACCCAAGGCAGGTGCCAGTGGGGGCCCCCCCAATCACTCCACCGGAAACCCCAAAGATCGGCCCTGATCGCCGGCCAGGCCTAGGGACCCTACCCATGCACGAATTTCATTCATTGGGCCTCTAGTGATAATATGATTCCTCGAAAATAAGCAGGACAAGCAATAATGCAGTTTTTTTAAGTGACCTAAATGTCAGGTCACAGTTACTCTTGGTCAATAACACACAAGCAAAAATATCCATAGAAGCTGCAGAGGATGTTAGACTATCCCTTAGGTGGGGGAACCATTTGTGAAGTAAATATGCTTTTGGCGTTTCTGGATTTTGTTCTCTTTGGTTTGTCTTTTAATGTGTGGTGATACATGAGCCTCCCAATGGCCTCATGTGGAAAACAACAACGAAATGAAACACAGGTAAAGAGTTTGAAGCACAGGATACAAGAAAGCAATACTGAAGTCTTAGAAAGAGAGTTTGAATATTTTCTTTGGTTTTCACTTTTTTTACTTTAAGAATAGAAACCCACAAGCAGGATTATTTATGAAAACTATAACTCCATGGCCTGCTTCAGCCATGACTGTAAGAGCACCTTTCTTAGATCTGAGTTCTTTTCAGAGAATTCCGAGAGGTTGTGTAACATTGAATGCTTTCAAGGTTCAAATCAGGAGTCAGAAAACATACAGCTCTGGGCCTAGAAATGCTTCCAAATCTCTAAGGTTCTCATTTACATTTAAAAATTCTAGCGTATTTGTCTTAAACCGATTCCATGGTCATGAGAGCAGTGAAATTTTATTTCACTGTAGACTCCTCCTCTTGGGCTAACTCTATGTGGAAGGCAATTTTGATGAACGAACAATAGGTAACCATTGTTATCCAGCCCTTTTCTCAACCAATGCAAAGAACGAGGAAGCAGAACCAAAGAGATTCGGGCAATAAAACCAACCACAGCCAACATTTATTCTTGATTTTTGTCACGACTTCTTTCATGCTTCCTTATTTTCCTCCACACGTTAAATATACAATAACCAAACACTTTATTAATATACACATAAAGTAAACATGGGCAGCATGCAAGTGTAGTAGGTAGTACGTGAACCCAGCCAGTGGTTGTTTCTGCCGTGGGCCCCTCCGTGGCCTGTGGAGGGCTTGTGGCGCTCCCAAGTAGAAGAACCGCAAATGAAGAGCAACACAAGCCATGGTGAACTAAAGAAGACTAACAACACCCAAGAGTTTCTGTTCAAACTAAGGAACAAAGTTCATCTTTTAATTTTAAATAAAACTTCACTTTGTTTTTTCTCTCCAACAAATGTTTTTAAATTAGTGAAACACTAAAGGAGAAAGGAAGAAGACAAAGGATGGATAAGAAGCATAAACTGAATCCAGAAAGTTCTGTGGTGGATGACTGATAAATCTCCTTGATAAAGAAAAGAAAAACCCAGACTATTTCATTCCCATCTTT